GGGATTGGTCAAGTATAGTACAAACACATGACAATTTGTTGGATGACCGTTAACTTGACACGAAACGACATGACTTGTTAGATAATCGGATCGTTACTGGGTTACCTGTTAAGAACCCGTTAAGATAACGGATTTGACACGATATGACCCGTTAAAATATCAAGTACAACACAAAAACAACATGAACATGACAAACACGACTCGTTTTCCAGGCCTCCCTCTACCTTGCCCCTTGATTTGTAACCCATCTCACATGTCTCGTTTGTACTCAATTGTAAATTCCACATTAAAATGATTAACATGAAGCAAAAAAAGGCTTTTTATATTAGTACCCTACAGAATGTTGAATGCACCTCACATTAAAATTTAGTATTAAATAACTTATTTACCCGACTATGCAATGAGAATTTTTACCTTATTAGGTTAAAAATATATTATATATACACCCCAAATCACTTTTAACGTATTATTTATCTTCTTCAACTATCAAAACCCCTCAAACCCTCCATTATAAAACAAAATCCTAACCAATAAAACTACAAATATGTTGATTGAAAAAAATTATTTTTGACAAATGAAACATGAAATCGATATTTTGAAAACTTCATATGAGGTAAGACTTCATATTTTTTATTGTTTTAATAATTTTGACGACATCGATAATTATTTTGATGCGTTATTCAAGTTTCTATGTTTGTATTCATCTTTTAGGAATTATAGGGATTACATGAAGAATTAAACACCTAAAATTACCATTAAATATTAAAAATTGACGAGATGGGTTTTAATGGTGGAATTGAAAACAACCCACATATGCTTTAAATCTCAGGCGGCACCTTTTGTCAAAATTCCAGTCGGCATTTTTTGTTCAAATTAAAAGCTTGATAAGATTTGAGAAATGTGGGGTGTATACAAAATATAAGTTGCATGTAGAAAATATAAGGTGTATATTAAGAATATGAGGTGTGAGGGTATTATGCGGAAGTAAATGGGGTATATTAAGATAAATTTTAATTGAAAAAGTAAATGTAAAATGTATTAGGTATGTGAAGTTTATTCAACAATTTATGATGCGTTTAATATAATAAACCAAAAAAAAATTAAAAACAAAAATCCCCAAACACATGCTGGGCCTACATTATTGCAGAATTGCGGGTTACCACAAAAATTGATTTTTCTTTCTCCAAATAACTTTTCCTTCCTGTTTTCCCTTACGGCGATGCGGCTGAGATCGAATTGAAAATCGGCGAACGAGAAATTGAGCGAAAAATGGAGACGAAGAACAAGTACAGCATCATAGTCCCGACCTACAACGAGCGCCTCAACATCGCCCTCCTCGTCTACCTCGTCTTCAAGCATCTCCGGTAATCGTCTCACCCTCGCTCTCTCACTCCTTTCTCTGTAATCGAATTCATGAATAATCAAACTTCGGAATAAATTCGTGACGAATAATTCGATTTTCATGTGTTTTTTTTTGGTGTGTAGGGATGTTGACTTTGAGATAATCGTCGTTGACGATGGAAGCCCCGACGGCACTCAGGAGATTGTTGAACAGTTGCAGCAAGTCTACGGTCACGATCGCATCGTAAGCACTTCGTTTTCTGCTTAATTTCTTCCTTTTTGTTATCCGGACTTGTTCTAATTCTATTATTTCTGTTTGATTATTTAATTATTTGTGTATTTTGTTGCAGCTGTTGAGAGCTAGAGCTAAGAAGCTTGGGTTAGGTATGTGATTATGTTAAAAACTTAATTCAATTTTTCTGTTTTCCGTTGAGCAAAGTGGGATTACCAATTCAAGTGAAATGCTATACATGTTGTGTGGAATGTTAAATAAAGTAGCAATTGTTTGTAATGTTTTTCCGAATTTCAGGAACGGCTTATATTCATGGTTTGAAGCATGCTTCCGGGAACTTTGTTGTGATCATGGACGCAGATTTATCACATCACGTAAGTATATCATGTCTTTAGGATGTTTATGTAAAGTATTTACGGTGTTTGATTGTTTATTTCACATATTTCATTGGAAGTGATAACTGTCCGCTGTCCAACAGTTTTATTTGAATCGGTATTCTTACACAAAGATGGGAGGGGGTGTGTGGTTTGTTAATTTGGAGCGCAAAAGCAACTTGGAAATTTTCTCTATTCAATTTATGAGGGCTATCTCTGCAAAATTAAAAAAAAAATATTGAGAGGATAATAGCCGTTGCCTTTCTATTTTACGGTAGACTGCCTCATTGGTTTAAAGCTCATTGAGTGCTTGTTATTCATATTGATAGTTAGAAATGTTTAGGGGAAATTATTGTTTAAGTGATTTCTTTCGAATCTTGTTTTATGTCGCTATTTCAATTAAGTCAAGCATTAGAATTGAATTCTCTCTTCCCTTTGAACACAAGGGAGCCCTCCTCTGGCCACAACATTGATATGCATTTTGGGTTTGCTTTCTATTCTTTTCTTGGATGTTATATGTTTCCTTAGATTTCCAACTTGTAATCACCTTCACGGTTTTATTCATTTTGTTTTCTTCTTATGATGCAGCCAAAGTATTTGCCAAGCTTCATCAAGTAAGAACAAGTTCTTTCTTGTGGTTCCCTACGATTCCATAGTATACTTCATTTCTTGAATTCCTCGTGAATTTGCTTGTGGTGTGTTTATTATTAGGAAACAGCTGGAAACTGGTGCAAGTATAGTTACTGGAACTCGTTATGTCAGAGGTGGCGGGGTCCATGGGTGGAATCTTATGCGCAAACTAACAAGTAGAGGAGCCAATGTTCTTGCACAAACACTACTATGGCCTGGTGTATCAGATTTGACTGGATCATTTCGGTACAAGATTTAATTATTGTATTGAGTTGTGTACTGTATCATGCTTAACATGATCATAGGACTGACATTTTTGTGGTTCTTTTGTAGGCTTTACAGGAAAACAGTGCTTGAAGATATCATTAGTTCCTGTGTCAGCAAGGGCTACGTCTTTCAGATGGAGATGATAGTTCGTGCTTCTAGAAAAGGATACCATATCGAAGAGGTAGATACAATTATGTCATGCATGTTTGCCTTCAGCTTGTGGTTAAAATAGATAGTACCATGGTCACGAAGCAAGCTTTGCATTTGTCACTGTTGCTTTTGTTGACATCATCGGAAGTATCAATCTTCTTATATTTGGTGCCCATGTTTTTTTTTTGGCATTTGTTTAATTTACGATGTATTGCTAGCTTGAGGATATTTTGAAATAGGCACTTAAAAAGTACACTGTGATTCCTTCATTTTGAAAAGTACTCTAGGAACCAATAAGAGATGCCCACGGGTTTTATAAACAGAGCATCAAAGTTATTCAGGAACTGGTGCATTTGTATCCACTGATAGCTTACCGTTGTATGTAGTGTTATTTTGGTTCACTGTGAAACTGTGAAATTTTGACGGCATTCAATATAAGAAGTTCATGAACATATTTGATAAAATGCGACAAATGTAAATGCCCTTCTAAAGTACAAAATAATTTGTGCACTAGGATTCTAGAATCATCAGTCTCATTTGCTACCCTGCTGCTTTGATGACTTTTCTTTTACAATGTCCAGTAATTTGTGTGCTACAATTTTATTAGTATTGTTTCATAGTTAATTTTAGATAAATGTAACCGTTGGTACGATGTAATAGAATCGAGGAGTATTATTAACAGTTGTTTGCGTGCTCAAGCAAGCCCTTGCATATTTGAGTTTGGTTTTCACTTAAATTTGCCCGTTCTCTTCATTTTTGGCTTCAAATAACTGCATTATTGTCTGATCCCCGGACTTTTTGCCTGTTGTCCTCAGGTTCCAATCAGTTTTGTTGACAGGGTATATGGAATTTCAAAGCTCGGAGGATCTGAAATTGTCGAATATCTGAAAGGCCTCGTCTATCTTCTCGTTACAACATGAGATGCATAAATTACGGCTCGTATTCACCTTTTTATCCGCTTTTGCACCCAACATGTAAACGTTTAAAGTTACATTTAGCTTTTTTTTCATAAATTCTAACTGATTTAGAACCATTTTGAACCGAGGGAACCATAGGAACCATATAAACTTGTTCATATATGTTCGTTTGTTTGTACTTTGTGGTTGCTTCTTGTAAATGCTCGAGAAGTAGACCCGTCGCAATACCTTTGTTAACTACTTTCACTTCCATTGTTCGTGCACTTTATAAAAACACTCCATGAACCGCCGCAAAATCCCGGCTGAATATTAGAACCAAAGAGCAATATGCCCTTTGGTCCTAAGCCGAGGAAAAAGATTTTTCAATTTTCCGGCTCTTGGAAGTGATTTTTGTTGCACTTTACTAACGTTTTTAGTTGTCAAAAAGTCATTTTAACCCTTTTGAAAGTGGTTTTAAACGTGCCCGTGGAACCGTAGATTGAGGCGAGTTGAGGAGTCAAGACACTACGAATCTTTGTGGTCGGGGTTGGTTGAGCAGTATCTCTGGCGTGAATCAACTGTGCCTCCAACCTGATTTGACGATGCTTTCTCCATGCCGTCAAGGATAAGGAAATTTATGTAACTTGTTTCCGAAATTGTTGACTATAGCCATTGGATTAAACCCTTAATTTTAAACCATTGAAAAGAATGTTTCATTCTATATAATTTCAAATCTTGACCAGGTATGCGATAAATAAATTCTATTTGAGAATGATATTCCGTTGAAATTGCGTATGAAACGTTGAATTTTAATAGGAAATTTATTTATTTATTTATTTTTCATTTTTTTTATGTGATAGTAAACGAATAATATATCAGGAATGAGAATGATATTCATAATTTGTATTCACATTTCTGATAATTAAACACGTTTTTGACAATAGAATAAATAATAACCATTTGTGTTTGATTTTCTCGTTTCTTAATATCTGTATTTTACGAAGAAAAAGAAAATTCCGAAGACATGCTTCAAAATCATGATCCCATATACTTTTTTTATGTCCGAATACAATAAAACAAGCACGCTATCTTGACCAACAAAATTAAATTCCTTATTTTCTTTCCTTCCTTCTAATTCTAGCAAACCATCCCATCACCTCACCTAGTCTTTCCTTAAACACATTGTGCTGCTGACCCAACCGAGTTTTACCAAACTTCCAAAACCCCCAAATCTTCATGTTCTCCTCCACCGCCTCAACTTCTTCCTCCTCCTCCTCTTCTTCTTCTCGTTATGCCCAAGCCACAGACCCTGTAAATTTTTTTATTCAAGTTCGTAGCCAAAAGGTAAGACAATCCACTCTCCTTACAACCCCTTAATTATCACTTTGCTTTTAATTTTTTTTTATTTTTTTTCACAGAAATTTTTTATGTGAATTGTTCGGGAAATTGGATTAAATTGGGGGTTTTCTACTTTCTAGGGTTTTGAGTAAGATTCAGGAGCACGGAAGTAATGGGGGGTGAGAAAGAGAGTGAAAATGGAGAGTTACCTGACCTGGAGAAGCAGCAGCTAGGCGGTCCTGAGACTAGCTCACTTCCCAGTTTGGCAACTGTGGATACGGTGCTGCCGCTACAACAGGTCGTCGTTTCGGGTGGGGCGTCATCTGAAGTTCATGAACCGCCGACAGTCACCGCCACGGTCAAATTTTCAGAGGAGGTTCCTTCTCCCAAAAAGGACCACCTGTCGAGGACTTCGAGCTCTCATGAACAATGCAGGCGAGTATCGAAAAATCGCTGGATTTTCAATTACAATTTAATGGTTTAGGATCATATGGTTTTTGAAATTGAATTTTATTATGTTGGGTTTTCTGTGCTTGTTCCTCAGAGTGTGTCAGCAGGAGAAAGATGAAGTTTTGATTGATCTCGGATGCCAGTGTCGAGGCGGGCTTGCGAAATCCCACAGATCATGTATAGACACTTGGTTTCGCTCCAGGGGATCGAACAAATGCGAGATATGCCAGTAATTCCCTCACTAATTTCATTGGCAAGTTGTAAAATAGCTCACTTATGAAGTCAGATTTTATAGAAAGATCTAATCTGTTTATGCAGAGGAGTAGCAGCAAATGTTCCACCTCCAGAGGCTCAGCCAACTGTATGTATTCTGATCCTTTGGGTGTAACGGATAGCTTATGCTCATCAAGCCATAACTTAACATATCTGTGCGGAATTAGCGTAGCTAACGGGATATTCCACCAGCCAAAAGTCATAATCTATAACTTCAAAGAATAGTATTGTACTTATAGACACTAAGCAATTTTGATAGCCGTTCCACTTTTATGTTTGATATCGGACTCTTTCAGAGCTTTTCGGTACCCAAAATCTTACTGGTTATCCTTTTTTTTTCTTTTCTAACTTAGTGTGTAGCTTAGACTGTCCTTAGATTTGAACTTTTAAGTTTCGGAGTAGTGATCCCGAACCGAATTGTCTCAGGAATAGAGTAGGATTTTTTTTTTAGATTGTGAATTTTTACATCTGAGCATAGATTTATGGGACTGCAATTACCCATTTTTATGTCAAAATTTAACTCTCAGTGTATTTGCAATAGCAGGCAAGCTATTGGGTTTGGAGAGTTGGCTCATCCTACCGATCACAAAATCGAGACAGGGTAAGGAAGACACTAATCAATCTACTAGAATATTAGTAACCTTGATGAATAACATTGTTGATGCAATGATTTCGACTGCACCGGTCTTTGTTGCAGGGTTGTGTAAGCCCACTTTATGTGGCGTTTTCAATCCTTATAGGTGGTCTACTGTTGGACGTGCTAATTTCTGTCACCCTTGGTGTCTCCGCACTGCCCATCAACATCATTATAGGTACGCTTGTGCCCATCGATATGTAAAAATTTGATTTGTTCGAGAAATTAGTACGATTGGTGGTATTGCTTGTTGAACTGTAATCTGTAAGAGACGTTGTACGTGTACAGGTATTATCGTGGTTCTTGGACTCGGCACTGCACTGAGACTCGCCCTGGAATTCTTCCACGAGTGGAGTGTGAGGAGAGTCGTGCAGAGAGTCGACGCAAGTCACACGAATGTGCCTCTTGGTTACCATCCTACTTTTTAGGTAAAAGTTGTAAGTAACAAGATGATGTAGAAGTAGAAATTTACTTGATTGCACGGATGGAGGAAGGAGGGTATACGTTCACTTTGTTGTTTGTTTTGCTAGGGCACCCATTGCCGTTTTACCTCAACCAAATGTACCGTTTACTATTTTATTACTTGGTTTTTATAATAAACTTGTTATTTCATTATTTGAGCACATGTTGTATAGAACTGCGCATCCACATTATCTTCAAACCGAAAAATGCTAGACTCAGTTAATAACTGTGAGCTGTTGATGCATGTGGGTCTTACAAGGCATACTTCAACGGTTCCCGATCATAGTCTATCTGATCTCAACTGAAGTATTCATTAGAGCTATGTTAGTATTAGTTGCACGTGCTTGGATGACACAGTACAAAGTGATCAGAGTTACCAACGTAATTCCTTGTAAGCGTGAATTCGCTAGGAAATTAAGAGAAATCCCAATGTTGTATTTGATTAATTCTTGAATGAATGCCATTGATACATTAAGATGACTTAAATAAAGATTAGAAACGTTTGGAACAACTTAGAGGACTTCCAGAATTAAACCAACATAATTAATATTAATCAGATGACAAACAAAGAGTCTGATTTTTATTACGAAACTTTAAAGACTTTTTTGAGGTTGAAACAGGATGAGACTACCCTGGATGACTAAAATCCATCATATAGGATTCTTGGTGTCGTTCCCTTTTCAAAAAGATATTATGAGCCCAAATCAGAGTTCGGACACCAAATCTATAAATTTCAAATGCATCATTTTATCTTCAAACCATCTATTTTCTTTTTAATTCATTCTATCATTTATTCTACGTCATTAGATAAATGCAATTTGATAATGTACGTGAATTTTACGATACGTCGACGACTTTGAATCGCGAATGACTGTATCGACGACTCACTATAGCCAACCGCTAATTGGAGTTTACTTAGCGAGGTGAAGGAGTACCGGCCGAACAGGAACATAGGAAGCTGTGGGAATATCATTGGGGTTCGAACAAGACTTTGCTTTTGTGCTACAAACCGTACTGACACAGACACAGAGACGATGTAATCATGTGGCGCAGCGCTGGAGAATAAAACTTTTTGTTAAAGGCGGCAACAAGTGGCGACATTTTCCTTTGGAGTTGGTGCTTTTGTTTGCCGAAAGCCTGCAGTAAAATAATTGGCATCCCAAGAATGCAACTACTGCACAATTTTGCTTCTTGATTTTCCAATTTTTCTCCTCGAGTATTTTACAAGTACAAGCAAACTAGCTACTGAAATTGGCCAACCAAAAATTCTCGTCTTTTTTTTCTTCTATTTTTGGCTATTGACCGCAATCATTACAATGATCTATTAAATTTAATTAGTAATGGTCGAAGTATAATGTACTATAATTTATAAGATCGTTCTTTTGTTTAAGACGGAAAGCAAGCACGTTCACATTGCCATAAGATTGGAGAAACAATATTTGTGTTTTGCTTTTAAACGACGATATTTGAGGTTTTCCTAGCGCTAAATTACCCAATGGACTAGTCATAATTCACTATCAAACTTATTATTCATGAATCGTTGCGAACGAAGAGGAATGTATTAGATCCACTAATCTATGACTTCTAATCACCCTTTGGGAAGCTTGGTATTAAATTGTCGTGCTCTTATGCACCAAAGCTAATCTTTTGAAATTTGACATATTTATTTATTTATTTTTTTAAATTGTTGCTAATGGTTTGATTTATTGGGGTTTATCATGAAGTTTTGGTTCAGTCTATTTTTAGAAACCTCCTCCTTCTTTGTCTTCGGTTGCTAGTTGTAGATATAGCTAAGATTTTGTGACCTCGTGATATGCTTATGTAATCTTTCTTTTTCTTTCGGGCTTATGCCTTGTTGTCAACCGAGAAGGAAGCCATGTGATATGTCTTACTTGCTTTGTTTGGTGAAGTTGTGATAGATACCTAATTTTTAAGGATGAAAAATGTCACACAATTTTTTTTTAATTCCTGATGCTGGTGAATCACAAAATAATGGCTATAAGAAAGTTGAAATGTTTATGTTAATCTTTCTAACCCAAAAAACATGAACTGTCGTAACAAAACTACAACTGCTCTCTTTTTAAAATAAAATAAATTCTCATGTTTATTGTATGCATAACATGTTCGTACCACAACGCCGAACTTACATAAATTACCGTTACAATTTCCACTGCAGAATCAGAGCGGTAAAAAACAAAAGTCAAAAAGTTAAAAACAGTACGGAATGGGATTTTGCGTGATTGCATATCACGACAGCACGAGACGAGCCGACACTTGGCGCCTCCTTCTCCTGCCGCTTAAGCAATCGGTCAAACAATGCAGATCCCCTACGACGCACGCACGTACAACCGCTTCAGTCCACCAATCGCGATCTTGGTAAATCCACATAAAAGCGAGTGAGTGACAGAGCGAGAAAACAGGAGGCTGCCCACGTTTTTTACCCAAATTTCCGAGCCATAAAGTATTCGTCTTTGCTCTGAACAAGCAGCAGGGTTGCGAAACTATTTAATTTTTCTGCGAGCTAGGGTTTTTGAGAAATTGGGAAATTTGAGGAAGATCAGTGGTCGGAGATGGCGGAGCTGTCGATGGAATCGCTGCCGTTGGGGTTCCGGTTCAGGCCCACGGACGAGGAGCTCATCAACCACTACCTGCGGCTGAAGATCAATGGCCGTGATTCTGAGGTCCGAGTCATCCCGGAAATCGACGTTTGCAGATGGGAGCCTTGGGATTTGCCAAGTAATTGTTTCTCTCCATCTCTGTCTTTTCCCTGTTTTTGGGGGGTTTTGAATTCGAATTTATGGTCGTTGTTTGTTTATTTGGGAGTTTGGAATTTCTGGATAAGAATATTTAATTGGCTGGATTGAGAATTTTCCTTTATTCCATACATCACCAGTGAATAATTCCTCCTTATTGCTATGCAGATTCGTTGCGTAGTTCCACTCTAATTGTGATAATTTAAATAATCATTCAAATTTTTAATTACCCATTTCGAATATTGTTGTAAGCTTTTAGATGTAAGTAGTGAATTTTTAATCTGCCTGAACTGAGGTATCGATTGTAATTGTAAAAGATAATACGAATTTTGAAGTACCCAATTTGAACATGGTAGTAAAGCTTGAAGCTTGAAGCCTTAAGCTGTACATAAGTGTAATTTGTGTTGTTGTGATGTGTGTTGCGCAGAATTATCAGTGATAAAGTCAGATGATCAAGAGTGGTTCTTCTTTTGCCCCCGGGATAGGAAGTACCCAAATGGCCATCGGTCAAATAGAGCCACTGATGCTGGATACTGGAAGGCCACAGGGAAGGACCGGACCATAAAGTCCCGTCAGTGCAAGTCTGCTTCTAACAGCAATGGCCAAGTTGGGATGAAGAAGACGTTGGTTTTCTACAGAGGTCGTGCCCCTAAGGGGGAGCGCACCAGCTGGATCATGCACGAGTACCGTGCCACTCAAAAGGAACTCGATGGCACTGGTCCGGGCCAGGTACTCCCTCCGCTTAATACTTGCCTTATTCATCCATTTTTCGCATATCTATATATATATATACTTGGATATGATGCATATTTTTAAATTGGTCTGTATTGGCACTGATAAATAAATTTGTACTTCTTCTGAATGATGTCTCACTAACTCTCCGATACAGGGTGCCTTTGTTCTCTGTCGCTTGTTCCATAAACCAGAAGAGAAGGCTGATGTACCAAAGTATGACGAAGTTGAACAAACTGGTTTATCTCCTACCACAACTAAGTCATCTCCTGATGAGTCCTCAGATATAATTCAGGAAACAGCTACATCAGAGATCCAAGGTGAAAATCAGGCAGAAGGTATCATGAGGTGGTTGACTGATAATTCTGACAACGTGACCCCTGATGCTCTCCCACCGCTACCTGACATTTTTATGGCCTCTGATGTGGAAGATCAAGGAGCAGTAGAAACGGGGATCCAGGTAAGATGTCCATTCTTGGTTTTGTTTCTGTCGCATTCATAATTGTACTCCTAAATTTGTACACAAGTTTACAGATGTTAACAACCAGTGACCAAATATTGTGATCTTTGTGCTTGTCAACTGTAGGGCCATCTGACAATAGAAGAAAATCCTGCATTCTATGAGTCTTTGGGCGGCCCGATTGATTGCAAAGTATTCACACCGTTGCATTCGCAGATTAATGCGGAGCTGGAACATTTTATGGGTTCACCTTTTACCAGTGACTTTGGCAATTATGATAATGGATTGTATTTTCAGGACGGCACATGTGAACAGGATGTATCCCTCACAGAGTTGTTGGATGAGTTCGGCAATAGCCATTATGAGAGCTCTTGTGAGGAGTCAACAAGTCAGAAGAACTTGGTCGTTGGAAATGAGACCTATTTATCTGGTAATGCGTGCACCACGCTGCCAGTAAACTCGTGTTTCAATGGTGCATGGGATAACACGGACGCCAATATCACCCAGGTATGGGTAAAATAAATAATTTCTTGTTTCTTGTAACCCACAATTTTGGCAATTCTTGGTTGTTTTCCTGTCTAGCCTGTTTAGTCTTCTTCATGGAATTGAAATTCTAAAATTAATCTTTTGAAATCAGTTCATAGTAATTTAGAAATGAAGGCAGACTGTAAACTGTTGCTTTGTTCTTGTGTACCAGCATGATCTGCAAAGGATGGCATCTGGCTTGTACAATGAGCAATTTGGTTCCGATGATTTGCAGAACACCTCATTTGGTTATTGGCAAGCTGAAGCCCAAGCATCGCTTGATGACCAAAAACCTAGAATGGGAAATATGGCGGACGGTTATTTATCTGAATGCTCATTTGCTGAGCAATTTCCTGTGAGTTCAGTCGATGATGGTTTGGATGATTCTACAAGTTGGAACCACGGTGTTGACCATGTTGGTGGAACTGGAATCAAGATTAGGGCTCGTGGTCCTCAACTACAACCAAATACAGATAACTTTGTATATCAGGGCACTGCTGCAAGAAGAATTTATTTATCAGTGGACCGTTCATCTGGGTCAAATACCAATGGCAATGAGGGCAATGAAAACTACAGCAGGGAAGAAGATGAAGTCCAATCAACTATTACACAGGTAAGGGTGTCCTTGTGAAGCTAACTTAATAATTCTTGTAACATGCATTTATCTAACTTTACACTGATTGTTTAATGCAGCCTAGAGAGGATATAGGGCAGAGTCCTACTTCTGATGAACAGGAGGAAGAGCATGCAATATTCAACGACAAAGAAGAATTATCCGGAAGGAATAATTCTATTAACAATGGTTGTGATCCTGATGGTAGAAGTAGAATCATGATTAGGACTCGGCAGCCTCAACAACGATCAAATTCAGACAGTTCAGTAACTCAAGGCACTGCTCCTAGAAGGATCCGTTTGCAGATGAATATTTCATCTGGGTCCATTGCTGATAGTAATGTGAGAGACACAGATGACGGGGGAGAAGATGAAGTACAATCAACTAATACTGAGGTAAGGGTCTTTGTGAGACCAAATTAATAACTCTGTTGTCGCTTATGCATTTTTAACTTAACTCTGATTGTTTCATACAGGCTAGAGAAGCAATACAGCAGAGTCTGACCTCAGATGAACAGGAGAAAGGGCATGCAGAAATCAATAATGAAGACTTGGCCACTATGAAGAATTCCGTCAGCTATGGTTCTGATGTTGGTAGAACTGGAATCAAGACCAAGGCCCCCGAGCCTCAACAACCATTAAGTTCAGATGATTTTGTAACTCAGGGCACTGCTCCTAGAAGAATCGGTTTGCAGATGAAAAGTTCACCTTGGTCAGTTGCTGATAGCAATGTGAGAGATACAACCCCTGGTGAAGAAGATAATGTACAGTCAACTATTCATGAGGTAAGGATTATCAACGAAGCCAAAACAAGCATTCTCTATACGTACATTCGATGTTCTAAGTGAGCAATATTGTTCCTTGCAGGTCAAAGAAGCCAGAGAGAAGATTTGTAATTTCGATGAGCAAGATGCAGAGTCCCATCTTTCGAAGTCAGACGTGAACAGGAAAATAATTGATGATTCACCAACAGAACTGGTTGATGAGAGCAGTGGAACTGCTGGAGAAGCCCCAAGAAAAGTAAGGTTAAGGACAGCAAGGGACGATGCATTACCCAGCAACCATATCGGGAAGTCAATGCCTTCAAAGACACTGCCTAAGGGCCACGGCCTGAGTCCTACATTTGTTATTTCGGTTGGTATTCCTTTAGCTGTAACCCTGTTCGTTGCGTTTAGTGGGATTTGGATGACATTTAGACCTTGACATTGTTCGGAAGATGCCATAGGCGATCCACGATGTGTTTACTTTTAAGTTGAAACAGATTATTAGGCTTGTAATTGCATTATCATATGTGCGTGCAGATGTAACCTTAGATGAGGTAAATACTGACATAGTTTGTATTATCATTTCATCTGTTTTTGAGTTGGTTTTGTTTTCAATTGAAAGTATAACGTACAAGAAAATACTTGGGCTCCTTCTCTTGCAAGTAGCCACTCCTACTACCCACCATATATCTAGCACGTGTTGAAAAATTTCCATGTTTTTTGTGTATTGTGCATGCATGTGTCTAATTGTGATTTGCAGAAAGTTTGGATACTTCTTGTTTTTACAAAGTCAAGCAATGACCTAACTTATTAATTACAAAAGATATACAGTGTTGTTCGTAGCTACGTTACGAACATAATAGTGTTTGGGACAATCGTTTACATGCTTGAGAGTAAACCACTCACAATAAGGAGTCCCTCACACATTTTGTAAGTGACGTGACACTCAATTAATAATGTAGTGGAATCACATTTGCATCAATAACTGATAATCGTTCGTACGCTTTATGATAATCCCACACACAAAAAGGACTCAAACTAGTCCATCCGATTACAGTTGGATCAGCAGTAATCAAGTAGTCACAATGAGGGAGGATTCCGAGGATTCTCGAATCACATTTGTTCATCGTATATCGTGCGGTCAATTTTTGTGAAGTATTGTTTATATTCAATTTTCAATAAAAATATTTATAATGATTTCTGACCTCACAAAGAAGATTCGGCGAGGATCCTCCTTGAGTCACAGTGACATCTAACCAACGGAACGATGACATTAAAACAGCCGGCTATTAGGTGAGTTTTGCCGTTTTGGTCGAAAACAGCGGGCTAATGAAACGCCACAAGAACAACAAAGCTGCTTTGGAAAAAACAAAACAATATAAATATCCAAATTAAAAAAAACAGACCCTATATAACATATAGAATGATTTGCATGTTGCCTGGATTCTCTGTGATCTTGGTCTTCTGATTTAATAATATAAGTTACATATAAATTTCGTTTGAAATAATAATTTCACGTTAATTGAGTGATTTATATACTCAGAACACAAATTAATACATTACAATATAAATAAAAATATATATTTTTAGTCTTTCTATTTGTAATATGACATGTGGGGCATCAGTTTATTGGTTGGTTACACAAAAAAATTACTCATAGTCTTGAACCCGTTTCATGAAATTTACCATATTTTAATTGTACATGCAAATTGCAATGTGTAGTGAAAGGACACAAAGAATAAGGGTAATGCTAAGGAGACTAAATTTGTAGATAAAATTTTGTAAACTAAATGACATGGAAGTTGATGATTGAATTATGACTTAAGCGTTGATAAACATGTTCATTCCTATTGAAAAGACACAAAGGATAAGGGTAATGCTATGGAGACAAAATTTTGTAAACTAATTGACATGGAAGTTGATGATTTGATTATGATTTAAGTATTGATAAACGTGTTCATTCTTATTAAGGATTAAATTGAAGTGCGGTATTGAAAGTCAGGGATCAAATTTATCGATTTTTTAAACTTAGGAACCAAAATGAGAAGTTGAATCAATGTCAGGAACCATTTGCGATAAAAACTCTTATTTTGTGTAAATCCACGTGTCACTATTTCATTGGATTTGTGGGTCCAACATACAAACTAATAGAATAGTTGACGGAATCTTAACGGAAGAACCAAATTGATGTGCGGTAATGAATGTCAGGAACTACCTTGATTGGTTTTGAAAATAAGGGACCAAAATGATAAATTTGATCAATCTCAAGAACTATTTGTGATAAAAACCCTTATTTAATTTGTAAATTTTATGTATAATTTAGTCTACCTGCAGATAATGATTGAGAAAAGCCAACGGCCAGTGAGTGACCTCCAACTGTTGTCATCTGCTTTCCTCCTTTTTCTTTTATTTTGAGTTAAAAAGTATTCCAGATAAAACCGAACCCTGAATCCACAACGAGTCAACTCGTCTCAAAATCCACGTGGCAGCCAAGCACCCTGGAAAGTCTGGAAAGTTCCCTGACACTTAGATAGGGGAGCCGTGGGCGCCGCTGGAAAATCCCCAAACCCAAAACCAAAACCAAAACCAAAACCAAAACTAAAACCAGATGAGATCACATGTCCTTCCTCATAAATCCACTACCTACCACCGACTTTCACTCGTTTTGTACTTCCTATAAATTGTCAAACCCCGGAATCTAGAGAGAGAGAGTGAAGATCTAGAGAGAGAAGGTGAGGAATTTCCAGAGTTAAAAGCTTGCTTCTTTGATTTGGGTTTTTTGAGTTATTTATTGGGTAAGCAAGAAAATTTGAAAAAAAAAATGATTTTGGTGGCGGTGGTGACGGAGCTGATGAAGGAGTACACGGTGTTGCTGGCGAGGGTTTTGGAGCATTTGTTTCACTCGGCGCCTTTTCCGAGGAGGGTTCGGTTTCTGATCCTGAGGAATCTTCCGTTCGCTTCTACCTACCCGCAACATCCTCCTCCTCCTTTGATTGGAGCTCCTGCTGCTTAACCATTCAAGAACAAGGCCTTTTTTTTTTTTTTTGTGCATCTAAGGCTTCCTTTGTTAGTTGTTTTTGTTTTTTAATTTTCTTTTTGGAATTGTGAATTTGTGATGCGGGTTTCTGGTTTTGTGTAAATATTTGGAGTTATTTTTACTAAGTTGGCGTAAATTTGATTGCTTTTTGGTGGATGAAATGGCAACTGTACTTTGTTCTGTATTTCTTTAAAGTTAATAACTTTGGAATGCACCGATATTTGAACGGTTAAAATCCAGTCATGCGAATCCAGCCGTCCAATGAACCGAAATGCAAAGGTAGAACTTGAACATAAACTTTATATGAACATGTACCAATTTCATATTTTGAATTTTATTATAAACATTGGCCGATGAGTACATACTCTGTGTATGAACAATTTTATTTTCTATTTTGTTTTTTTTTATTAAGGAGTGATTAGTTTTTAAAATTTTAAAGAGAGTATGAAAAAAATAATGGTAGAATAATTTTTCTTAATAAATGTATATTTTATCTTAATATTACATAATTACTGTTTTTGTTCTCCTTATGTAAATATTATGTATAAAAAATGAGAGTAAAATAGGAAAAATAAAGATATGAGTATCATTTTGTCAAAAGGTAGAAAATTACTATTTTTCCATCCTCATATCAATATTGTGCATTAAAAAATGAAAGCAAAATTGAAAAAAAGAGAAAAAAAAAAGTTTACAAGGCTTTTCTCTTAATAGAATAGAATATTATAAATTAATGAGTGAGAAACTTCTTCGTTGTTCTAGGAGGATTCGTTTCATTGTAATTCGATCACCTATAATAATCTTGGATTAGTAATTATTAATTTCATACAGTCTAACCCATGTACTAATTACAAGAACGATTTAATCAAATTTTACGTATGGATAATGATTCTCCCATTATCGTTGTCATGTTGTCAGTTGTCATATCATTACTCTTATCCTTTCCTTATTATATTTTGTTTTAAGAGTTTGTGTCACTGTCCTTATTCTCTTGCCAAATGGACGACTTCGACTCTTCTGATTTGACGACGGTTTTCACTCCAAAACGAAAGAAGTTAGTAGCTCAAGTTAGGGAATTCATAGATAATCATCCTTAAAATTATAAGACCATCTTCAATGGTGATTTAAAACTTAAAAATATTTAATCCAGGAACAACTTTTCTACACCAACCCTTCTGGTCTAAAATTTTAGCCCGAGATTATCAAAGAATGAATTAAGGCTATTTTTTTTTTTAAATTAACTTTTAAAATAAATAAATTATGTAGACTATCCTAAATTAGTTTTATGAACATTTTAACCTAAAAATATTTAAATTCCGATAAATTTTGAAAAATCACTAAATCAATACATGAAAATCATGATAACCACATAAACTTAATACAAACGACATTTAATAAACCACATAAACTTAAAAAAAAAAAGACAATTAATAAACCACATAAACTTAATACAATAAAAAAAATTTGGAAATGAGAAGAAATGGTACAAAATTGGAAGAATTGTAGGAGAAAAGTGGGTTTTGTGTGGATGTTTGAACAAATACATAGGTATTTATAGAGTTTTTTTGTTGAATTTTAAGTTAAATAAATTTTTTTAAATTATTTTAGCCGTTGGATTTAAATTCGGACCGATAGATTTTTTTTTTACTGTTAGATTTAATTATATTCGATCTAAGCCATTGGATTCAATAAACATATAAATATAAAACTAAAAAAAAAATATTTGAACATGGACCGTTGGATTAACCAATGATCCAATTACATTGGCCGTTGGATGAAGAAGAGTAGCCGTTGGGCTACAATGTACATGACACGCTGAGGCTGACAACCCACGTGTGGTGGGCCTTGACTAGAAATTGTTGGGCGCGTGACATGCGTTCAGCATCTGGGTTTTTAGGGTGTGGGCTTTACAACCCACTTTTCACTCTCACCCGTGAATCCCATTTTATTTTGTGGGCTAAATTGTGGCTGGTATTTGCCTTCCTTTTAGGTTTGGTTTAGATTTTGGGTTGGAGTGGGTTTTGGGGAGGGGGGGGAAAGGAAATTTTAGGTTATAAGCCACCATTAGAGATGATCTAAGCCAATTAAGTAATCTTTCAAAAGAGAGTAGTATATTGAACTTCCAGTCCACGACTGACTTGATTCACAGCCCTTTGACCAAGCAACCACAACAAGGAGAAGTACCCTCCAGCTTGGGCCTGAAAGGATAGCTACAGAGTCCAATAACCCTAGTCCAATTCCACACGACTTGGGCAGCAAGTTAGGTTTGAACCTTTGCTTTTGTAGTGACGTCTTCTGTATTAACAGTTAACGTGAGATCATGCAGAATTCTGCTCTCCCAATTCATGTAGACATGAGTTCCTAGTCTTGTTGGCCAAAAAATCGTCCATAATTAATAAGGCTTTGGAAAACAGTTGTCAGTGTTAAAACGTGACGTTTCCTTCTCATTTATTGAATTTTAAACATACAAACTCCAGAATTTTGAAGAATGCTAGAGAGATTATTTTTAAAGATCGAAATTATAAATCATCTTATGTGACACATAATGTGACATGACAAGTTAT